CAGACAGGCCGCACACACACACACACACACACACACACATACGTAAAAAGGGTTTTCCTAAACGATAGATAGACAATCAGCGAGCGAATACCTCTGACTGAGAAGATACAGCTTTTTATCATATTTCAGTGCCATTAGCCAGTTAGACACACAAGTCTAGGGGAGAGAGAGCAAGGGAGAGTGACTGAGCGAGAATGTGAATGAGTGAAAAACCGCTAGGCGACAGTAACCAGGTACACTGAGTTGCCGCATTGCTGTACCTGTTTTCTGGTCCCTTCCTGCCATTTTTGTGTGTTTTTTCTTACTCCACGGCTCTTATTTTATATTTCTTGCATTCAACAACACCAATTCTTTCTAATGACGCTAACCGGCCGAGATCAGAGCCTCGCGAGACTACTTTATTTGTCTATAGAACTTTTCGCGGTTGTCATTGGCGTTGTAGCGTCATTGCTCGCCACGAAGTTGAGTGAGGAGTGGTCTTTTATGCCGCTGCCGACATGTCTGCAGTCTCTAGGCGCCCGGCTTGCGGTGGCCCATTCTGGCGGTGTCTCGGAGTCGGCGAAGATCGGTCACTCTGTCGATCCCACTGCATGCAAATTTGCCTGATTTGCCTAATTTGTCTGTCTCACCTCGTAGCTAGGCTGACATTTTCGCCCCACAAACATCCTCTTCCGTAGGCCGGCTCGTTCGTGTCTGTCTCTGGTCTTCTTCTATCCGCTACTCATCTTGTCTAATTACCAATTCCGTTGAACATTTGGAAGTTTGGAGTCTATTTTCTGCTTCACATTTTGCTCCTCAGACTTCGATGCTTCCGTCCGGACTGCCGCTTTAGCATGACCAGCACACATTCAGCGCTGGCCGAGCAGTAGCCGACCGACCGACCGATCGGCCGTCTGGCGGAGGCAGTCTTCCTCGAGACTTCGAAAAGGGTCGGCCGGATCGTCCGAGCCGCGGTTCTCGACCTACCCAACTCGACAGCTCCTTCCCACTCGATGGTAAGCACGCTGTTTTGATCTTCTTCACAAGATCCCTTTTTTCTCACCTTTCTCCATCGGTCATTCTTCACCCGACGCAATCTACTGACCAAAAGAGCTGTGATCATCCAATATGGTTGCTACCGGTTCGTCTGCATGGCAATCACGTCGTCAACCGACGCGTACTCTAACTGGTCATAATGGAAGTCTTATTTTGCAAACTTATCGGCACCTTCTGGACTCAGTGAACAAGTGCTGATGCCCATTTGGCGGGCTCTGCCACACACCTCGTTTGGAATGCAGATCGTAGATCAGAGTTATGATACCATTTTAGTTGTGTCGTCCTCTTGGAGGCACACATAAAGGCTTCATGATGCTTCCAAACGCCATTCTCACTCCGACTGGACTCGACTGGACCTCCCGGTGGGACTCAAACCAGGATTCTGCTAGTGCAACTTCAATCTAGACATGCCACCACTCGGCCAAACCTTTTTAGGGCAAAAGATGAATTTCCAACCAAGCTAAGCCACTCTCATGTGACATTTTTAATAGCGGGACTTTTGTCGAAGTAAACATCTATTTGACAATCTCATCTGAATTAAAATAA